AGACAGTAAGGATATGGGTCTGGAGAATGCCTCACCAAACGTTTTGGTCTCCACAAATTGCAGCCAACTGTGAAGCATGGTGGTTTCAGCGTGATGGTTTGGGAAGCTGTTTTGGTTGATGAGAGATCGAGCTTAGAGGAGTGCGTTGGCAACATAAATTTTGCAAAATACGTCGAAATATTGGAGGAAGGACTCTTGCCACTTTATTCCTCGGGTTTCGTGGACAAGAACGCAGCGTTGTTCCAGGAAGATGGAGCACTGTGTCATACTGCTAAAAACACCCAAAAGTGGCAGGAAGAAAATGGTATCCAGAAATTGCCCTGGCCGAGCCAATCTCCTGACATGAACCCCATGGAAAACTTCTGGGCCATACTCAACCGGCAAGTCAAGAAACAACCAAAAAAACCAATTTCGAAGAGCGATCTACTCCAAGTTTTGAAGCAAGAGTGGGCGAAAATGACGAGTGGGTTGACGAGATGATTCTCACGATGCCCCAAAGGATCAACGAACTCCACGAAGCGAAAGGAAGATCTACTAGATATTAATTAGATTATAAATATATCAATTCATGTGAATATGACTGAAAAATTTCATTTTTCTGAAAAGGTGGTGTCTATTTACTTGTGACCACGCTGTGTATATATATATTTTATAGTAAATCTTACTTTGGCACCAAACATGAAAATTACATGTTACTCATACATGAATAATGCAATAATAATTTTCATCCAGTTTTTTCAAGAATATGAACAATTCCTGACTTTCATATTCATTGATCTTAAATAATAATAATAACTTTTTTTTAACTGGAAGTGTCTTTTCAAGTGAAAATAATTCTAACAGGTTAAGTATTGTTTTTGTGAACTGGTTTTAATAAAGTAAAACAGTCTAGATTTAAAAAAGTATATACTCTATGGAAAAGTTTTATTAAATCAATGCTGGTTCTAATTCTGAGTGAAGAAAAATAATGTTGTACCCATTAAAAATAAACAGAAAATACTTTTAGGGATGTAAGATCATTAATGAGGGACATAAGAGTTAATTTTGTAAACAACATAAACACTGGTTTTTAAAAGCAATATCATCTAAGTTCATCTTTAATGATAATTTCTCTAGGTTTAGAATGTAGAGGCATGAAGAATTATTTTAAGTAGTGTTGCTTGCAATATTTAAAATTTGTGTACGTTTATTCGTTGGTAGAATGCCCTTTGCAGGTTTGTTTACCAGGAGAGCGCTTATCAAAAATATATTGGTGACTTTGGAGATATCCAAGAATATGTGATGATATTTCTAATTTTCTATGATATCCTAAGTAGCAAAGTGTTAAATTTTTTTAAATGTTTACTTTGTAGATATTAAACAATAACAATTTTAAACCAAGTAGTAAAGATAAAGATTACAATTTGTTTATAATATCTGTAGATAAATAACAAAGATATGAAAGGGATCACACGAGAAGAAGCAATTATGTTTTTGTTGAATACAAAAGATCGTGTGGATTTAATTGTTCAACACAGAAAAGAAGGTATGAAAAAAGTATATTATTTTCATATTACATTATTCAGGGTTAAAAATGCCACTGTACACTATGAAGATACTTTTATTTTTTCTAGAAAGTAATGTGTTTAATATTCATATAATTCTCTTTAATGATGCTATATAGAATTATGTTAGTAAAGTCTCTGTCTCAATCAATTATTTATTATTTTCATTATTCAAACACTTAGAATAATTTAAACTTTTGTACAGACAAAGTTTGTAAGCTGAAACTATTCTATGAGTAATGCAACCTGAACTTTCCTGCATATCTAATGTAGTTTTTAATATGTATTATTATTGCTATTAGAGTATGATGAAGTAATAGCCACCAAGAGGGGTGATTCCTTTTACATCAGGTTAGTAGTTCCTTGTGTCTGATTGGACTAACCATAACATGTTTGTGGATTTCAAAAATAGACTATAGCATTAAACTGCAGAATGTAATAAAATTGAAAGATTTCCATGTTTAGAAGCTTTTTACTTTGTCCATAAAGTTTTCCATTTTTAGGATATGAAAACATAATGTAATACTTTTCAATTTCTAAAACATTTTAGGATTATATTACATCATTTAACACATAAGAAAAATGTATCAATATACTTTTACATCATAAAAACACATCAGCTCACTTTAATCTCATCAGAGTACAACCATACACTTTTACATCATTAAAACACATCAGTAAATTTTATTCAAAAACATACATACCTCTATTCACACTACAGCTATTACTCGACTGCCAGGGTTTTTTCCTTTGCCCATCTAAGCATTGGTCTGATTTTTTCTTGCTTGCTCCAGTCTGTTATACCCTACTTAATTCCCCTTGGTGATATTTATCTCAAGACACTCTCCACCTTCTATAATAGTACTATATATAAGTACCTGATTCAGATAATGTTATCATTTTTTCTCAACAAAGCGTCACTAACAGGTTTCTCAGTGCTATAATCGTTCAGAGATACTTTGAGCATTCTCTGTTACCTAGTTGATTTTCATTGTTCAAAAAAATTCTGATTTACGGTATGAATTCGTGGATTATCATTTCCAGCATGGAGGCACATCAGGTCTCTCTTATCCCACTTCTGATATCTGTCATTGCATAACAATTGGAGAGAATTTAGATTCACTTTTTCCTGCACCTTATTTTAGTCTGTTGGACTCTCAGTCCTCCTGGACTTACAATGCTGGAGTCCAGGGTTCGCTTCTCTATAGTAGACACAGCAGATAGTCCAACATTGCTTTGCTCTAGCAAAACAAACTTACCTGACTAAATGTTGTCCAATCAATGTTATAAACACAGTTTTTAATTATTTTTTATAAAGGAGGCCACGTTGGGATAAGCTGCCTTTGAATTGTTTTCTTCAGTTGGTTCATCGAGAGTGTGATGTTTTTGGTCTTTCCCCAGTTGCTTTTGAACATGCACCTTACTTGATGGCTGAAATGTCTGGGAGTGAATATTTAGTTTTCTCTCCATTGATGGACGTTGTGGTTCATGCAGGGAGGTTTACTTCTCAGTTACATGAAGGGACAGTTATGCCTTATTTGACACAGTTGTCGGAACTTCGTGATTTAGCCTATCACTGCCAGGTGGAAGCATATACCGACTCTCAAATAATGCGCCTTCTCCTCGAAATTAGTGGTTCTAAGGCGGAGTTTGTTGTCAACCTGAATAGATAAATGTCCCCTGGTGGGACAAGGTAAGTCTACAGACTTACAACTCTAAAATCCAACATTTTGTTCTTCTTACACTAAACTCTGCTGGAAGACTATTCTCAGGATCACCATCTTCATTGATGACAAGCTGGAACCATTGCTAGCATGCACATTGGTTCGATTGTTGGCTTCTACATTCATCTCTGTTGTCATTGACATCTCGAATTTCATGAGCTTCTATAGGTGGTCATAGTTCTGCCCCTACTCGAGAGACCCGACCGCCGACATCAGACCCTTGGTACATTGGTACCCAGAATAGATTCTGTTCATATTCAATGAGTCTGCTGCATGGTCAGATTGGCTCTCATTTTGCAACTATGAATGGTGGGTTGGCCACTCATTGGAACACCCATATACTGGCAATTTGGTCCCTAGTCCCTCTTCTTGGGCTTTGGCAATGGATGCATTCCATCAGGATGGGATGGGATTACAATTCTAGGCCTTCCCTCCTAGGTACTAACAATAATTCGTTCCAACCCATTGTCGGGTCCTGTTGATAGCACTGGATTGGCAGCTACACCCTGGTTTCTGCTTTTGTGGTACCTTCAGGAGTGTCCACCTCTTCCACTTCTTCTTAGATCTTATCTGTGGAATCATACATGATCTGACATGGTACACCTTGCTATCCAGAAGTTCCATCTGCAGGCATAGAGGTTATACAGTCTTTTGCACGGCATCAGGGTTTAATTTCTAAGGTTCCTATGTATCTGTCTCAGACTCAGTCTTTCCTTAGTCCCACAATGGACATTTATCAACAGAAATGACACATATATTGGCAATGGTGTATTGAGAGAATGTTGAAACCACTTCGATCAGAATGCCAACCATAACTTGATTTTTGACCTGGCTCTTTGGCAAGGGTTTTTGCACCTTCCACAATAGCCCTGTATGAGGTGGCTTTATCGACTACTGTTCCATGCTCATGACAAAATATTCTTTGAGTCCCCGGTACTCTCCAGATTCCTTAAGTTGCTTTTGTCCCATATGACCATTCCAGTTACCTAACTGGTATATTAAGGGTACATTACACACCCTTTCTCAACACCTGTTTGTTACCTTATTCTCATATTCCATATATCACCTTTACCTGAAGGTTTATTTTTTGTTGCTTGCTGACCTACAGACATCGCCAGTCAGAGTGGTTTGTGCTGTTTATCCATAGAACACTTTGTCATTCTACCTATATCCTCAGACTGGTTCTTCTTACTGTCAGACAGGGAAGGGGATAAATCCTTTTCACCGATTCATCTGATAACTATTTCTCACTTCAATGATCAATCAGATTTCAATTGTTGTTATGTTCGGTGAGGGTCTTGAAGGTTTTGCTGCCCGCACCAATGCCTTTAGAGTTACTTGACAACGACTTTTTATTCTGGGCTCTCTTTGAAGGCGAGGAATCTTCTATGAGTCATGTCTAATCAGATTCGTCACGTCTCGTTATGTCCTTAGCAGCCTGATTGAATTGCCTGCTGAAGGACGTTGTGCAGACTGGTATGTGGACCTCATACTATCTTATATCTCATATTATTTGCATGATCTGGCAGTATCTTCATCTGAGGGTTTTTGCCTACCCCCCTGTAGCTATCTTAACCACTTCCACTAGATTATACAGAGGGGTGAGTATTTTCATCACTATCTTTGAGGGTCCCTTACCTCGTTTTCACAGGATCCCACTCTGTGGTGAGTGTTGCCCAGGCAGGTGTGCTTTTATCAAACTAATTCTGCACTAGCAACCATTAATTCAATATACTTTATCTATATTGCAAAAGGCTCTGTAGAAATGAGGTGTTCCATAAGACCACCTAGAGGCTGAATGGGTGGTATTACTGTACTATTCTGGACCACCACTCATGGACTATCATGAGTAAAACATAAGGGGGTCCTGCCCATCCCTGCCGATCATTGGATTGAATAAATTGGGGTTGGTTTACTTTTAAAAATTTAGAGAACTTGGTTTACCTATTGTACTGTTCCTCGGTACTCACCAATGCACATTATCCCCAGATTCTAATAGTGGAGCTAAAGAGTCCTTATCAAATCCAGTTCCACTCACTGAGGTGTTGGACAGAGGCTTTTCCTCCAGAGTGTTAGAGTGAATTCCTCCACTTTTAGAGAAGAGGGCGAAGTTGGGGGCACTCCTACCCAGGTCCGTGGATGTTTTTTTTTTTCAGATGTTGGTAGGAGAGGCACCAGCCTATGCAGGAGCCTATTCATAATACTGGTTCAGATTTGATGCACAGCTATCCAGTTGGGTTGAGCATAACCCTCCTTTGTGATTAATATTGGTTTAGTACATTGTTCATAGAAGAGGGTCCATTGTCTCCTTGTAATTCTGAATGCAGAATGGTCCCATCCTGGGTCCTTGGTTGAGCACAGTTTGTTCCACGTCCTCCCCATAGTTCCAAGCACAAGTGGAATTTACTTTGTCCACGTGGTTGGGGAGTGAGGATGAGTGTTCGTAAGTCCAGACCAGATGAATTCTGTTTCCTCAGGCTGAGTAAGGCATACAAGATCCCACCATTTTGAGCCTGGGTTGTTGCCCTTCAGACTTCTTCAGGTTGAGAAGAAGATTTGTCCACTTCATTGTTGCTTACCTTCTCATTGTGATTCTGGTGGCTTGGAACACATCAAACTATGGCTACAGGTTGGGATCCATTCGTAAGTGTGTGTGTATGTATATATAACTGTTCAATTGCCCTAGCCACCAACATGGGATATAGTGACCATGGCCCTATAATTCCAACCCTGAGCAGTGAAACCTTGGCTATCTGGTTGGGCCTGGCCAATAATGATGATAAATCATGTAACATTCCACCCACAGTACATGAATTAAATTCCATGTGGTTCCTCCACTTGGGTATCAATCTTCTATTGACACACCCATGATCTATGCAGATGCTTTCTGTATGGATAATGCCCTCACCAACCCCTCCAACTTCACAATGTGGGATTATAGCTGTAATATGAACAGAGGTGTGTATGTTTTGGAAGTTAGTATTTTCTTAAATCGAAAATGTATTTCCAATAATACTTACCTCCTCATACTCTCCTGCCCTTCCTACCCGTTAAGAGCTAGTGCTTTAGAGAGTGCAGATTGAGTCAGTCAAAAAAAAGTAATAACATTATCTGAAAGAGGTGGTTATATATACAGTACCAGGATAGAAGGTGCATTGACGTAGGTGGAGAGTATCACAAGACTTGTCTCACCAAGAGCATTAAGTGAGATATAAGAGACTGGAGCAAGCAAGAAAAAAATCAGACCACTGCTTAAATGGGCAAAGGAAGAAATCCTGGCAGTTGAGTAATAGCTGTAGCGTGTGAGGAGGTAAGTATTATTGGAAATACATTTTCAATTTAAGAAAATGTTAACATTTCATTAAAGCACAACAATAATACACTTGAACATCATTTATAAATATGGATATGTTCTAACATCATTAAATCATTTCACATTAGTACCATTTAACTTCATTAAAAATACATCTGTACATTTAACATTATTAAAACTCATCAGAACATTTTAGCATCACTAAACTTTTGTGAAAGATAAAATTAACAAAAAGTTTTAATAACAACAAAAGTTTCATGTCTTTATCATATTTGTCATTGAGATATTTACACAAAGTATGATGTGGAAGAGTAAAGTAATGGTCTTTAAATCAGAAACATGAATATCACCACTGTTCTACTACAAATTTTAAATATTGATGGTTTTTAGTTCCAATGATTTTATAATTTTTGTATAAGCTTTTGTTTCAGTAAGTTAGAAAATTGTGAATTTTTTTAACTCAGGACACATTTCTGTAAGGAAGACCATGAGAATAAGGAAATGAGTTTTCAGATTGGAGAGATATTTCATGTTGTAGACAGTTTATTCAATGATGTAGTTGGTTCATGGCTATGTTACAGACTTGATCATAATAACCATGAGATTGAAAAAGGTGTTATTCCTAACAGTAGCAGGTAAGTATTATTAAAATAAACGTTTACTAATCTTAATATCTAGTATTTTTGGTGTCATAATCATTCTGCTTTGTTGTGTTTTTTTTTTATTTAATTGGAAACTTCTGATGCTTCCCTAGAAATCATTTATTTTTTTGAAGTAGATGGATATCCATAATCTTATAAACAAGATAAGTCAATAAAAGTGATTGATTTAATTACTGTTTGTTATAAAGTTCTAAGGTCTCTTCAAGGACCACTGCAAGAAAGGATGCACCCAGTCCTCTTAATGAATTTTTTTATGTGGGCTTTTCTTACAGTTGAATTTTTTCTTATGTACTTCTTAATTTTTTAAATCCTTTTCTTTTTTCTTGTTACTTTTTACATCATAGTTATTAGTTTCATTGACTTAATTTTTTTTCTATTTTCAATGTTGCTTTTTATTCTTCACTGTTACTATGCTTTTCATCAGAAAGTATTTTAATCTATGCTGATTGTTAGTAAGTATACTTTTACATTATTTTGTAAACTTTTTTAAACCTTTCCAAAGAATGACTTTGGGTCAATACATTAAATAAGCTTTCCAAACCTGGTGTTCATGTTTCTAGTGGTCAGTAATTGATTGTTTTAATAAAAGCAATATACAGAGAAGAAGCCTAAAGAATGGCAATTTTTGTGAAAATTGTAAGATAGATATTACAAATCAATGAAACAACATAATGGAATAAGAGTCACTGTCTTTGAAAATTATCACATAAGATTCGTCTACTTACTTTAATTTCTGTTTGAAAAGAACTTGACTGTTGTAAGTACACTCTTATTTGATACATTTTTAGTTCTTGTTCTATAATGTTAATGTGTAATGTTTAGTATTTCAATCATTTCTTATTATTATTAACAAGGATTTTGTTGTCATGGGACTGTGGTTAATGATAACATAATAATGATTTGATATCATGAAACAGAACACACGTTTAATCTAGTTTCATTTCTCAGTATTCTCAGGTATAGGAAGTTTAGAAACTATAACTAATGACTATCATAATGAGACACTAGGTAAAGTTCAGCAATGTGTTCATATGTGTGCTGAGATTCTCCCTTATCTAATAAAGTCAACTTACTAAGAGTTTTTTGTTTTATGTGTAATGATCCACAGGAAGAGTTTAAATGCTTGAGTTCAGCAGTGGTCTCAGAATAATAGTGTAAGATGGGATTGTCTTGCATTGGTCAGAAACGAATGAAAGTCTTAACTGGGTCTTGAAACTTGGAACACTTGTGTTCTATAACTAATGTTCTATTAGATGAACTATTAAGTCTTCAAACCCAAATGAACAACTTTCCTTCTGGATTATTACAATGAAATGTTGATATATTTGGTGAATAAATACAGAAAATATCCATGACAAATGTGTTACAATTTCACAACCTACCTCATGTAGAAGATTATTTTAATCATGAAAAGAATTAGTTTATTGTAAAATTTTATAATTATTATTATAAGATATTAAAAATAGATAAAACAAAACTACTATGCATATAATTATCATTGTACTATAAATAATAAACCCCAAGCTACAGCTTAAAAAAACTCAAAAGTAAATCTTGAAAAGGCTTTCATTAGATTTATCAATATTTCATATGTTTTTGCCATGCATGGTATTACTCTTCTGTAAAATACTTATATGGCACATAAGTAACATTATAAAAACGTAAGCTTGTTACTATACATTCACAAATGTGTGTGTTATTATTGTGTATTTATACTACCTTATAAAGCTTTTATTTTATTGTTAAAATGTTACCATTTATACCTTTCACAGAGAGCTCATAATCAGTTACACTAGAGGGATGTTTTCAAGCAATTAAATTAAATTAACTAAATTAAGTAAAATGAATCAAAATACAATGTTTAGTAGAATTAATATCTTTAAAGCAGTATAAATTAAGAATGTAAGCAAACAGCTAGAAATTTCATATAAAAAACATGTAAAATTATGTTTTTCTTTGCAGGATTTTATAGGAAGAGCCATTTTTTGCTTTCCTTTAAAAATAGTGATGCATTAGGTACCAATATAGATTTTGTACAAAAACATATATGTTAATGCCATAACCACAAACTGAAGATTCATTAAAACTTACAGAAAGCATATAGTTTGAATAGTTTCTTTTATTGTATACAGTAACTGTGGATTTTATTTATCATGTCTCTAATCTTTTAATGTATTTTTTGAAATCCTGCTTTGATGTAAACCCACCAGAGCAGAGGAGTTGGCTCAGAAAAAACAATACCAATCCAAAAAAGACTCTTCATCAGAAGGCCGTGGGAGTTTCTTTAAAAGAAGAAGTGCCAGACGCTCCAAATCATTAAGTAAAGACTATTGGGAAGAAATCATGTTCAGTAAGTTT